AGGGGGTCCACCCCTGGAGACAGGATGAAGAACATGGGCGTGGCTGGTCCTGATTCTTCAAAAGAGGCTGCGAAGTCCAGTGCTCTTCCCACCACGTATTTGCTTCCTAACTTCTCCTCAATAAAATCTCTGCCGGGGGGAGGGGGGGAAGGTCTATGTGTATACATCAGTCACAGAATGATAACATATGAGCAACAGAGGTCTGTGGAAATGGAAATATGCACTCATGGTCACGGCATGGCAGTTACAGAGCTGGGAGCAACACCAACGCTACTTACTAAGTCAGCACTCACAACCTGTGTTACTAGTTATGCACCTGCTCACCTAGATCAGGGCTCCTTCTGGATCCCCATCCATCCAGGCCACTGCTGACTCCTCTATGGAACCTAGATGTCCTGTTACATCACCATCGCCCATCAGAAGACTGCCAGGAGCCACGTCTTCAGAAAGCAGCTAAACCCTCCACACCTGATATCCCTGAGCTCTTCCATGCCTGTGTGTGTATGTTTAGTTGCTCAGTTGTGTCCAACTCTTTGCAGCCCTGTAGCATGCCAGGCTTCTCTGTCCATGGGATTTTTTTTTTTTTCAGGCAAGAATACTGGAGTGCATTGCCAGTCCTTTCCACCAGGGGATCTTCCCAACCCAGGGATCGAAGCCGCATCTCCTGCATTAGCAGGAAGATTCTTTACCCCTGAGATGTCAATGAGCACCTACCTCTTCCCAAATGGTTCACTTAGATTTTAAGGCAATACTGCAATATATTGTCAATACACATGTGTTGACGATACATGTGTTGACAATACATGTGTTTAAGAACACAGAGCAACAGGCCTCATGGGATTCTGGATGTTGGTACAAAGGTTTCTGTCATGGTAAACTCGTGGCTTTGGGCTGAGCCCTGCTGGCCTGGCCACACTTGCCCAGCCTTCCCTGCTGCCCCTGGCCTCCTCGCCACCCCTGGCCTCCCCATGGCCACCTGTGCCTACCGCAGGGCATAGGTCATCCGGTCGGGTCGCAGGACTCTTATCATGCAGAGGCGCTGCAGGGCTGTCTTGTTCTTCCACTCCTGGGGGAACTTTTCCTTCTCAGGACATTCTGATTCCACAAACTTCTTCCAGCTCTTGGCGGATCCCTCAATGTCCCGATCCAGATTACAGAATTCTTCCATTGATGAAAGTGCCTGAAAAAGGTCAGGGAACCTGGCTCTGGATGCAGTTTCTCCTGAAAGCTGTCATTTGCATCATCATTGGGGGTGAGGGAGCAGGATGGTCTTATAGACACAATTCTGTTTCATCTATCCTCCTCTTCTGGATTCTTGACTACTCCCTCCAGCACACCAAGGAAGAAGACGGATTTTGATCAACTCACCTCCATCAAAAGCCCCAGGGATATGTAAGGTTTAGCAAACAAAGTGTTTGGGAAGTGGTCAGCAGTGGGACTGAGAGCACCTCCCAGGAGGGGACCACATGGGAAGAGGGACAAGAGGATGCTGTGAGTTTTCTGGTCACAGAGCTCTGGTACTGAAGTCTCTGCTGCCTCCCTTTCAATCCCATTCTCATGCTGCCAGCAACCCCTGTCAATTCCATCCCTCAAAATGTCTCTAGGATCTAGGATCATTGACTTTGTGTTAATGCCAACTCTAAAATTTCCATATGTCTCTTACTTTCATAAAGATTAAGTCCAAATACATGAATCAACTCTCTTCCTTTAGGGTTTCCCTCCCATCCATCCAGTTAACCACCCAGCCCATGTCCTTCCCCCTCTGTCCACCCACATCTGACTTAACCCTGGAAATGTGCCAGGCGCTCTCGCAGCTTGATGCCTGGTTCACACTTCTTGCATCGTGGGAGCGGTCCTCTCCTCCACAAATTCTACTCCTTTCCTTTCTCGTGTTGGGCATAATTATTTATCAAGGTTCTACAAGTTGTTAAAGTGTTAGTCACTCAGTCATGTCTGACTCTTTGAGACCCCATGGATAGAGAAGCCTAGTGGGTTACAGGCAAGAATACTGGAGTGGGTTGCCATTCCCTTCTCCAGGGGATCTTCCTGACCCAGGGATTGAACCTGGGTCTCCTGCTTTGCAGGCAGAGTCTTTAAATTCTTTACTGTCTGAGTCACCAGGGAAAGCTTTACAAATTGCTAACAAATTGTTTAAGTCCAGTCCAAAATCAGCCACCCCATTCACATCCATCTTCTCTAACCTGGAACACACAGCTCTCCCACTCCCCTTTGTGGACCGCTCAGAACTACTCACAGTTGATATATTTAATAAAGACTGACTCACTTTATGGATGTGTGACTGCTGATCACTTTTAAGCCTTATCTCTCCCTCTTCCTCTTCTGTTCCACGAGGCAAGCTGGTAGGTAATCTGGGTGCCCCTTTCTTTGTGCTGAAGGGAAGTTGTATCATGCAAGCCTTTGCCCCACTCCCCAGAAATCACAAAAAGCCCAAGACACCACCTTTCCTTGTATTCTCAAGCCATTTTCACACTGCTTGGGAACTCCCCTACTCTGCCCAGAAAGTCTCATTATGTGAGCAACAAATTCTTTCATGCCTCCTGGGTATGCATGAGGCATTGTCAATCTAGACAGGGGAACTGCATTTTGGGTGGGGGTCCATCCTGTTTCTTCAGAGTGCCCAGGTGAATCTCACTGACTTAGTCGCCTACATGCAGCCTTTCCACAGTCACTCAACTCCGCCTGTGGGTTCCATCTCTCCAATGAGATTAAAAGCTACACTGGGTCCAGGGCACCTACCACAGTGCTGTGAACTTTGAGGAACCCACACATTCTCATTATGTGAAATCTTTCACTCATTCTTTGGTATTTATGAGATGCCTGATACATGCCAAGTACTTGGGAATACAAAGGCAAATCCCAAAATACATGCATCTTCAAGGCACTTACAATCCTAAACTAAACAGAAAGAGATGAGGGAGGCCTTAGATGTAAAATTCTGTTGGGCAAAGAGGGAGGTGGAGAGAAGGGAAGGGCGTTTCATGGGGAAGGGTCCACAGAGCCCATGTCTGAAGCAGGGAGGGTATGGTGCATGGCAGAGGCCATGTGACTGCAGTGGAGGGGTGACAGGCGACGAGGGGAAGGTCAGGCTGGAGAAGGACACGTACACTCGAGCTGGGCTTGCCCAGGCTCTTCTGAGTGGATGAACACATGTCCTGTCTTTTTAGTTGCCCTTTCACCCGGGCTCTGCGGCTTCCCAACGTCACTCTGATCACTCAGAGCAGGGAGCGCACCTGTGGTGCCTAGACGTGACCTGGGCTGGAGTGGGGGTGGCAGGGGAGAGGGGGCGTGGGGAATGCAGGGGGAGGAGGAGCGTGGTGCGTGGGGAGGGCAGTTTGGGGGATGGACGGGGGAGGAGGGAGTGGAGTGTATGATGGTGATTGAGGCACCAGAAGACGAGAGCTCTGGTCCCAGGGCCACCTCTTACGAGCCTCTTTTGACTCAGAGCCTGTTCTTAAACCTTTGTGGGCTTTGATTTTCTCATTTGGAAAATGAGGCCATGTAATCATCGTCTGCCTAGCTCAGGCTCTAATGTACATATGGGTGCTCAGAAGACTGTAAAGCCCCTCTACGTGCTCTTTGGGGGCTCCTACGTTATCAGATTGCAATTGCTGGTCTGCTTGTCTGTGACTCCCACAAGATTGCGAGTTCCCTGTGGGCAAGAACATTCTGTGCCGTCTCTGTAGCCTCAGGCTTCGCAGGCTGCCTGGCACTTAGGAAGCACTGCATTAAAAAAGTTGGACATCTGGGCGGCTATTGGGAGTTAAAGCTGCAGACATGGTGCTTAGCTCTCTCTGAGCCGAGGACCAAACTTCCCATCCTCCTTCAGGCGGCCACTTTCCCCCTCTTCCCAGCTTGTGTCCCCATTAACCCTCCTGCAGGCCCATTACCCTCCTCTGAAGTCACCACAAAGCTGAGGACATTACAGGGTGATCAGGGCTCCCAGCTGGTGTGACTGGGTCTGAAACACGCTTTCCTGAAGCTCTGGGTTGAACACAATTGCCATGTTTAATCTTCCAAATGAGGGAAAGGGATTTCTAGCCTTCTAATAAGCTAAATGGAAATGACTAATTAACCTAATTACATTGGACTGGGTACCAAAGTACAACTGCGCTAAATTGGCATCGGGAGAGGTGGGAGGGGCCTTTTCAGAGGCGTACAATGCTGGGTAGCGCAGATGAGGTCTCCTGATGGAGAAGAGAACATGCCTGTTACCTGAAAGTTCAGCATGGGATGAGACCTTGAAACTCCTTACGGAAGTTACTAATAAAAGCAGTACTTGATCACAGATTTCATTCATTACCTGTTCATTAGGCCTTCTGGAGAATCAAGGAAATGCATTTTCCTCATCAGTTAGGATGCTTAAAAATGTTTTGTTTAATCATGTCCTATTCAATTCTATTTCTTTTGTTTCTTTGGACTAAAATCCAACTGAACATTTTAAAAAGAGCATTTGTCAGAGGCTACATAGTGCCTTGTGCTTCACCAGCCCGCATCCTGCACTGGGCTGGATCTGGAAGGGGCTGGACGTAGTGGCTCCCGTAACAAAACTTGGAGAGAGAGAGAAGAGAGAAAGCTTCACTCATGTGCAGAAGCCGTTGAACAGCCAGATGAGCTTAGCTCGCAAAACAAAACAGCAAAGCAAAGTGAAGAAAAGCAAAGCAGACCAGACAAAAGAGGGAGAAGACCAAACTGCACAGTGGCTTTTGAGTGGAGTGATGTACAATGAGCGCAGTATAGAGTGCGCTCGAATCACTTCTTTGTGACTTGTGCTTCAGAGGGCTTCGTGGGATTACAAAGAAAAAGGCAACGGGACTGGACTCAGCTGGGCAACTCACAGGTCCTCAAAGGTTTTCCTTCGATGGCCAATTCTATCGGGCACAACCCATGTCAACCACAGCATATACACTCCTTGTTGTTGTTTAGTCACTAAGCCATGTCCAACTCTTTGGTCCCTGGGATTGTAGCCTGCCAGGCTCCTCTGCCCATGGGAATCTCCAGGCAAGAATACCAGAGTGGGTTGACATTTCCTTCTCTAGGGGATCTTTCCAACCCACGTATTCTGCATTGGCAGGTAGGTTCTTTACCACTCAGCCACCAGGGAAGCCCATATATACCTGAGACCTGGTTAATTAATAATCATAATTGCAATAAGGTGAATTCAGTCCCCCCAAAAGATATGTTGAAAATCTAACCTCTCAGATTTGTGAATGTGACCTTATTTGGAAATGGCTCTTTGCAGAGGTGATCCAGTAAAGATGAGGTCAGGAGGGTGGCCAATGTGACTGACGTTCTTGTAAGAAGAGAAGAGATGCAAAGACACAGGGGGAAGATGACCATGTAAGGACTGTAGAGATGGAAGCAGAGATTGGAATTGTCCTGCCACAATCCAAGGAATGCCTGGGGTTCCCAGAAGCTGGAAGAGGTAAAAAAGGATGCTCTCCTTGAGCCTTTAGAGGGAACATGACCTGTCAACGCCTTAATTTCAAACGTCTAGCCTCCAGAACTCTGGGGGAATAAGTGTCTGTGTTTTTAAGCCACCCAGCTTATGGCACTTTGTTATGGGTGTTCTAGGAAACAAAATACAATAACGATAATCAGCTTCCAGTTACTGAACATTTATGTGCATCACATAACAGATAAGAAAACAAGGATAACCTGTCAGAAGTCACAAGCTCAAACCTGAAACTGAACCCAGGAGCATCTGACTTCAGAGCCTGCGTCAACTGGTCTATCTCCATTACTGGTCCAGTTCAGCAAATAAGCGTATTCAGAACTGCTCTCCAGAATTCATTTCCCATAAGGGCATCAGACTCTGAGCCATTATTCTCGAGCTCCATGACCTATACTTCCAACAAGGACGCCATTGGCCACCTGTGAGTACTGAGCAAACAAAATGTGGCCAGTGTGACTGAAGAAGAGGGTTTTTTTTTTCCATTTATTTTTATTAGTTGGAGGCTAATTACTTTACAACATTGCAGTGGTTTTTGTCATACATTGAAATGAATTAGCCATGGATTTACATGTATTCCCCATCCCGGTCCCCCCTCCCACCTCCCTCTCCACCCGATCCCTCTGGGTCTTCCCAGTGCACCAGGCCCGAGCACTTGTCTCATGCACCCAACCTGGGCTGGTGATCTGTTTCACCCTAGATAATATACATGTTTCGATGCTGTTCTCTTGAAACATCCCACCCTCGCCTTCTCCCAGAGTCCACAAGTCTGTTCTATACATCTGAGTCTCTTTTTCTGTTTTGCATATAGGGTTATCGTTACCATCTTTCTAAATTCCATATATATGTGTTAGTATACTGTAATGGTCTTTATCTTTCTGGCTTACTTCGCTCTGTATAATGGGCTCCAGTTTCATCCATCTCATTAGAACTGATTCAAATGAATTCTTTTTAATGGCTGAGTAATATTCCATGGTGTATATGTACCACAGCTTCCTCATCCATTCGTCTGCTGATGGGCATCTGGGTTGCTTCCATGTCCTGGCTATTATAAACAGTGCTGCGATGAACATTGGGGTGCACGTGTCTCTTTCAGATCTGGTTTCCTTGGTGTGTATGCCCAGAAGTGGGATTGCTGGGTCATATGGCAGTTCTATTTCCAGCTTTTTAAGAAATCTCCACACTGTTTTCCATAGTGGCTGTACTAATTTGCATTCCCACCAACAGTGTAAGAGGGTTCCCTTTTCTCCACACCCTCTCCAGCATTTATTGCTTGTAGACTTTTGGATAGCAGCCATCCTGACTGGCGTGTAATGGTACCTCATTGTGGTTTTGATTTGCATTTCTCTGATAATGAGTGATGTTGAGCATCTTTTCATGTGTTTGTTAGCCATCTGTATGTCTTCCTTGGAGAAATGTCTGTTTAGTTCTTTGGCCCATTTTTTGATTGGGTCATTTATTTTTCTGGAGTTGAGCTGGAGGAGTTGCTTGTATATTTTTGAGATTAATCCTTTGTCTGTTGCTTCGTTGGCTATTATTTTCTCCCTATCTGAGGGCTGTCTTTTCACCTTGCTTATAGTTAGAAGAGGGTTTTTATTTGCTTTTAATTTTATTTATTTAAAATTTTTAATGCATTTATTATTTTCTGGTATAGTGGTTTTTCTCCATATGATCTAGTTTTGTTTTTGTTTTTTTACAAATTTAACACATTCTTTTTGTTTATTTTAATTATCTTAAAATTTAAATTTAGAAACTGGAACTTGCTTTAGTAGTTGGAGAACTCTTGAGTACATTTCAAATAACTTGGGTATATGAATCAACTGCTATAACTCTATATTTTATAGAATCTAAATTCAAGCCAAGTATTTCTGATGAAGATTTAATATCTGAATTGAGAGGTACTGTGAGTGCAAAAAAATATACACTGGGATTCAGACTTACTTCAAAAATGCAAAATATCTCATTCATAATTTTTGTAAAAATTACATATTAAAAGGATAATATTTTGGTTGTACTGGGTTAAGGAAATACATTATTAAAGTTATTTTCATTGATTTCATTTTACATTATTTTTTTACATTTTGCATTTTAATGTGGCTACTAGAAAAATTTAGATGACACATGTGACATGCTTTCTATTTTTTTTTCACAGCACTACTCTAAGTTTTGTCTATTCATATCTTATGTGGCCTAGAAAAGCTGATTTTCCACACATATGCTTGACACATTATAATTATTCTTAGGCATTTTGTGACTTTGTGGTCTGGTTGCTGTTATGAATGGAGTTTCTCTGTTTTCTTTCCCAACATAGTCTTCCCCTTCTCACTTACCAGATTGGATTCAGAATTTCAAATGAAGTTAATATATAAAAATCAAATCACACCTTTATTATTTAGATCAGGGATAAGGAAATTGAGGCTGCAGGGACAGTCTGGCCCACCAGCTGTGTTTGTAAATAAAGTTTTATTGGAACGCAGCCACTTCCATTTGCTTACCTATGGTGTATGACTTTGGCAGAGTTGAATAGTTGTGACACAGTGTGACCCTCAAAGCCTAGATATTTGCTGTATGGCCCTGTGCAGGAAATGTTTGATGACTCTTGATTTAGACATAGTTCTAAAGATGACTAAAAGAATAGCTGCAGACTCTGAGAAAAGTTAGAAAAACATTTTGGGCCACGGCAGCATTTCGCAAGATGACTCCTTTGAAGAGGACAGCATGCATATAAATGATTATGTGCTGGGCTTTTGTTCTAAAGTAAATCAACTTGGATGGATCTCAAGGGAGTTGGGCTGAGTGATCAAGCCAGTCCCCAAAGGTTGCATACTGTATAATTCCATTTATATAACAGCCTTGAGATGACAGAATTATACAAATGGAGAACAGATTAGTGGTTGCCAGGAATTAGGTTGGGGGAGGGAGGAGGTTGTTGTTTCTATAACAAGCGACCTACACACCAGTTGGAGTTTTCTAGATCTTGACTGTGGTGCTGACTACATGAATCTTCACGTGTGATAAAACTAAACACACACGTGCATGAAAACCAGGTGCAATCAGAATACAGTGGACTGTATCAGTGTCAGCTTCCTGGATGTGACATCATGCTGCAGAAAAGCTAGATGTGACTGCCGAGGGGATGCGGTGCAAAGAATCTATTTCACATAATTGCATGTAAATCATTGTCTCAAAAAACTTTTAGTAAAAAATATAAAGAGAGAGAGAGCCAATCACATTACTTCAGACTCAGGCTTCTTTGTGCTATGAAACATGTAGGAAAGGGAGCAAAGTCCCTATGGACGGTCATAGGGACTTTGCTGGGGGTCCAGTGGTTAAGACTTCACCTTACAATGCTGGGAGTGTGGATTCAATCCCTGCTGGGGGAGCTAAGATCCCATATGTCTAGTGGCCAAAAAACATAAAACAGAAGCAATATTGTAACAAATTCACTAAAGGCTTTAAAAAAAATGGCCCACATCCCCCCCAAAAAATCTTTAAAAGCAAAACAAAACAAAACAAAACAAAAACAAAAAACGCAGGAAGGTCATAAATAGGATTCACTTTGTGCTGGTAGATGCTGGTCCTCGCACAGCTCCAGCACCTACTGGGGAGCTCCTCCAGGTGGGGACCCGACCGCCGCCCACCTGGAGAGAGAGTCTGGACCCTGGGACTGACCGTTCACCCAGTACACGCTTACCACAGTGCCAGCCCATGTGAACGCAGGCGTGGTCCCTACTGGACGGAGCTCATCGCTTGTGATCTTTTCAATGTTCATAGAATCCCACTGAAGCTAAGCTGAATAACATGGAAGGGGAAAATGGGCTTTGCCGTCAGACAGACCAGAACTCGATTCTTGATTCTTAGGTTTGCTACTTATAAAATGTGTGATCGTAGTTTCTTTACATGTTAAATGAGAACAAACAGTACCTCTCGCCCAGGGAAACATGAGGATAACATAAGGGAAAGTGTTTCTGCTGGGAAAGATTGAAGGCAAAAGGAGAAGAGGGCGGCAGAGGATGAGATGGTTAGATGGCATCATTGACTCAATGGACATGAATCTGAGCAAACTTCTGGAGACAGTGAAGGAGAGGGAGGCCTGGCATGCCGCAGTCCATGGGGTCACAGAGAGTCGGACACAACTTAGTGACTGAAAGGCGACAACAATGTGCTTCTAAGGTGCTCAGTAAACGTGAGCTGTTACTAACCACTAGAATACCAGGCTGGGATGTGTCCCCTGCTTTGAGGCTGTTAGGACTCACATGGAGATGGACAGCTGGCAGCACCCTGGTAACTGTCCCCTCCATGGACACAGCATCTCCACACCGGTCTGGGTCACACAGAGGAGCCTGAACTCTGCACCTCACAGAGGAGCTGGCCCTGAACACCGGCAGGAGGAAAGCTGCTCAGCTGAGTCAGACACTTGCAGGTTCCTCCTGTTCCCCGACATCCTAGAGGCAGAGCCCACACATGAACATGCACCTGCTCCTTCTCGGCAGCGCCCTTCCAGCAGGCCTGGGAAGGGGGAGTTCTGCCGGAGGGGTGCCGGCAAGGGGCCCCACCTACGTCTAACACAGCTCATGTTATTGTTGTTTAGTCTCTAAGTCAAGTCTGACTGTCCTGCGATACCACGAGCTGTAGACTCCCAGGCTCCTCTGTCCATGGACTTTTCCAAGCAAGAACACTGGAGTAGGTTGCCATTACCTTCTCTAGGGGATCTTCCCCACCCAGGGATCGAACCCATGTCTCCTACATTGACAGGCAGATTCTTTACCACTGAGCCACTGGGGAAGCCCCCAACACAGCTCAGGGTGAAACCCTCAAAGACAGCCCCGCTGGTTTCCTAGGGATAAGCGTCAGAACAGCAGTCCAGGAGAGGACAAGGTGGATTTTTTTTTTCCCGAGGGGCTGGTACGGACCTTGATGCCACCCCAGGCCTGATGGGAGAGGAACTCCACTGGACTGGTGACTCCTGTCTGTGCTGGAGATCGAAGCAGGAAGTCCAGCTCGGCTGCACTCACTTCCTGGTTCATGAGGAGGATCTGCAACGTGGAAGGACAGTGTTCTTATTCATCTATTGGCTGCACCGGGTCTTAGTTGTGGCACATGGGATCTTTAGCTGCAGCATGTGGGATCTAGTTCCCTGGGCTCAGACGCTCAGTCTCGTCAGACTCTTTGCCACCCCTCATGGACTGTAGCCCACCAGGTTCCTCTGTGGATGGGCTTTTCCAGGCAAGAGTACTGGCGTGGGTTGCCACTTCCTACTCTAGGGTCTAGTCCCCTGAGCAGGGATCAAACCTGTGTCCCCTGCATTGGGAGCCCTGAGTCTTAGTCAGTGGACCATCAGGGAAGTCCCAGCGCTGAGTTTTGTTACCTGGCGGCAGTCGTGGGTGCTGGAGCCCCTCGGAGTCGCCACCAGTGTAACTAGTGCTACTTCTGACCCGAGAGTGCACTCCTCCGTCTTGGTTGTTGACCCGTCTTGGTTGTTGAAATCGGGTGGAGGGGAAGAAAGTCTGTATCTATGCTGATCACCTCTGGGTACATCTGACTTCACCTCAAATACCAGTGTGACTAAAGCACACACAGTGAATGACTGTTTGTCTTAGTAAGCAAGGAACTGATGGATCAATCCTAAATGCCATGAAGTACATTCCTGCAATCTCACAGAGAAGATGGCAGTGGCGAATGACATGATTTGAGGAGAGGGTCAAAGTAACGGACGAATGTATGCAAAACAGAAGTGCATGTGTGAATGAGTGATGCTAATAGGGGACTTCCCTGGTGGCTAAGAATCCACCTTCCAATGCAGGGGACTTGGGTTCCATTCCATTCCTGGTCAGGGAACTAGGATCCCACATGCTTCCAGGCAACTAGACAGAAGCCCACATGCCACCACTGGAGAGCCCATGCAGACTAATGAGATCCTGCATGCCACAGCTAAGACCTGATGCAGCCAAAAATAAATAAATAAAAAATTACTGCTAAGGGGGACCCAGAACAGGGGAGTGGCTAGGAAGCAGGGTAGGGAGATGCATTTGACTGAACTTCCTGTAAGTGGTTTTGAATCGGCTTTTGGAGAAGCTGAGCATGAGATTTAGACAGGCTTCTCAGGGAGGGGGGAGTGGAAACTGCAGAGACTTGGGAGGGAATTAGTGCTGTGTGTGCAGGGAGGGCAAAGCATTTGACTGGGTTAGAACTAACAGCTCCTGCTGAGAGGCGCTCAGGAGATTGTTCTTCCCCCTTCAAATGGTATTCTCCGCTGAGAAGTTACAGATGGGAATATTCACAGAGAAAAAAATAATTTTATTAGTTCGAGAAAAAGTCTTTAAGGAAAAAATGGGCTAGAAATCACAGATGAGGTGAAGCAGCCTTTGTAAAACGAGGTTGAAATATTTATGAGGGGAGAGGAGTGAAAGCCAGAAGCAGAAGCTCCTTGGGCTTTGGGGGAAATGTGTGGCAGGAGGAAAATTCATCTGGGGTGGGGCTCAAGTTCCCTCTGACATGGCCAAGCTGTTATCCGGCCAGGGAGGGGAACACATAGGGGGAGAGGGACAAGCCATGCTAATGCTCCTCTGTGAATTCAGACCAGAACGTGCAAACAGAGTCCGAGCAGAAGCAATGTTAGAATAACTGACTTTCAGAACTGGTAGAGTCCTACAGGATAATCTGGTCTGTGCTTCTTATTTATAATCGGGAAAAATCCCAATTCTAAAATGGTTAGAGAGTTAGGTGCATGCATGCATGCATGGTCAGTCATGTCTGACTCTTTGCAAACCCATGCACAGTAGTCTGTCAGGCTCTTCTGTCCATGGGATTTTCCAGGCAAGAATACTGGAGTGGATTGCCATTTCCTTCTCCAGAGGATCTTCCCAACCAGGGGTCAAACCCATGTCTCTTGAAGTTCTTGCATTGGCAGGTAGATTCTTTTTACCACTAAGCCACCCAGGAAGTCCCTAGAGAGTTAGGTGCAAGGAAATCAATTTCCATGGTTTTTCTGATGTTGAGAATAAGCAGAATGCAATGGTTTCTTATTAACCCTGGAAGCCCTGATGCTTCTGAGCCCTTGAGAACCAGAGTTCTTAAGGACTTTTCTAAGACCAAGGTTGCAGCTATAGAAGGACATTTGCAGTTTCTTATTCCAGGGGAAGGTTTGGACATTAAACTTGCAGCCTTGTGCTGTGTGCTAGGTTGCTTCACTTGTGCCCGACTCTTTGCAGCCCCCTGGACTATAACCTGTCAGGCTTCTCTGTCCATGGGATTCTCCAGTCAAGAACACTGGAGTGGGTTGCCATTTCCTCCTCCAGGGGATCTTGCCTACCCAGGGATTGGACCAGCGTCTCCTATGGTTCCTGCATTGGCAGGCAGATTCTTTTCTGCTAGTGCTACCTGCAACCTTGAAGGTACATAAATAAGGAGGGATACTTTAAGTTCTTACTGAATCTCAGGAAGTATCCAGTTTTTGGTATGGCCATCCAGTTTCATCCTCAGGGCTAGTTTGGATTGATTGGTAGTGGCTGCTGGAGGGGCCTTTGGGGAAGGATCTTCCTCATTCAGGATCACCACGAAAAAGTACAATGTTTGATTAAGCAAGTCTGCCACGAGTGGGACAATGGAGTGGATGGCCTGCGTGCACCATGCTGGATTTTCTTGTCTGATGCCTCTGCTTAGAGCTCAATAATCTTCACAAACTATGGGAACTGATGTTAAAAAAAAGCAAGTTTCTAGGACTTCCTTGGTATTCAGTGGTAAGACTCCGAGCTCCCGATGCAGGGGGCTCCGGTTCAATCCCTAGCCAGGGAACTAGATCCCACATGCTACAGCTAAGACTTGGCACAGCTAAATAAATAGATAAATATTAAATTTTTTTTAAAGGAAAAAAGTTTCTTTATATCTGCTGGTTGGGCATATAAATTGACCTGTTTTCTGGAAATGTCTTCAATCTTCTCTTACCTGAAAGGTGAGCTGGGCAAGGTAGGTCAGCTTATGGCACTCGAAGAGCCCCCGGGTGGTGTACTGGCACAGAGAAAAGGTGATGCTGTCTATTAGGTTGGCCACCCGTGCCTTGAGGGTCTCATCAGAGGTCGCCTTCTCCACGGCCTTCCGGAAGATGATGCTGAAGGCCTGCGGGCAGGAGATAGGACACCGGTAGCTTACCTGGCTCTCTGTATGTAACTAGTAGTCCCACCTCTGGTGAGCATTATAATTCACCAATCACGGAAATGTCTTCCCAGCATAACCTGCCAAGGAAGGCCAGTGGCAACAGGAAAACTCCTGTCTTAGTTGCCCGTATAAATTGCTATGTTGTCACAAAGGGGGCCAAGCTATGAAGCATACAGCAAAGAGCCTACTGTGTAGGTCCAGTGACCAAAATAATTAAATTAAATCCAGTAAGTTTTGTTGGAAACTGAACACAGTGAACAATAACCAGTTTGGGTGATTCTATCTTTTAGATTTTAAAATTCCCAATGGTAGAATCAACATCTTGCACAACTTTGCTGTCTAAAAGAGACCTTTGTACATAATAGGTACTCAGAATATTTTTAATTAATTACTTTTCCTCTTGGTAATGATCAGAATATCAGCTGTTCTTGGTTTTTCTTTCTAGTAATTCCACATCATTTGATGAGTCTTCTTACAAATGCTTTTCTCTTATGGACACTTCTTATGCAACTGGGAGAGCAGAGCCTGCTTTCGTTACATCTTCCAAATTGTACCTTATGGGTATAATATGAATCCATTTTCATATTGATCACATGAATCAATTTTCCATCGCTTTAAACTTAGATATAGACTATTTATAAAAATTGATATTGGGAATGAATGTATCATTAAAGAATGAATGATAAAGAAACTAATCATTAAAGAAAACAAAGGCCAATGATGAATCTTTAAAGAAAATAAAAATCAAGATACTATTGGGTCTTTTCAATTTTTGGCTAGGCAGACTTCCAGTCTTCTTGTTTGGCTTTTTTTTTTTTTTTTTTTGGAACACATATTTTCATGGGCTTAATCTAATTTCCCTTCTTCAGGAAGAGTCACTGCAGTAGATTTCAACTACTGTCAAAACTAGGGAGGTGATTCCATAGTTATTAGGCTTATCACATTAACTTCTATACTGTTTTTCAAATTCCTTATATAGCTCAGTGGGGAAAGAATCAGCCTGCAATGCAGGAGACCTGGGTTCAATTCCTGGGTCGGGAAGATCCCATGGAGAAGGAAATGGCAACCCACTCTAGTATTCTTGCCGGGAAAATCTCATGAACAGAGGAGCCTAGCAGGCTCCATGGGGTCGCATGAACAGAGGAGCCTAGCAGGCTCCATGGGGTCGCAAGTCGGACACGACTTAGCAACTAAACCACCACCACCATATTTCTTTCACGTGGGGCTTTGACCTGAATATAATGCCAAGTATTGGATTTCTTTTAAAAACAATCACTATTACAGAGGGGAGGGGATAGGGACAGGCTGGAATGCCACTTCCACCGTAGTGAGTTCCAGGTGCGGAAGCCCTCTGCCTTCTCAGTGGCTCAGCTTCATCCCCACACCTTGGCCTCCAGGCAGCAGCTAGATGAGGTGTGTGCCCTGAATATGAGTGTCCTCTCTGTTGGATTAAACCAGAGAAGTTGTTCAGAGGCCCCTACAGACTCTGCAGCTGTGGTCTTTTGGAGACTCCTTACGGGAGAAAGATATACTTTCAGAGATGTACTTAAAATTTATAGGTCTTTATTATTTCATGAGTAAGATAAGCTGAGTTAGCACTTACAATCTGCTAACGTCTTTGATTTTAGAAATATATCAGCACCACAGAGCAGTAGCTTTGAGGATATGAGGGTAATTGTGTGTGTATTCTCCGTTGTGTCTCTTTGTGAACCCCCTCGACTGTAGCTCACCAGGCTCCTCTGTCCATGGGATTCTCCAGGCGAGAATACTAGAGTGGTTTGCCGTGTCCTCCTCTAGGAGATCTTCCCGGCCCAAGGATCGAACCCACATCTCTTGCATCTCTGGCATCAGCAGGTGGCTTCTTTACCACTGCACCACCTGGGAAGCCCATTAGGGTCACAGGGAAACTAACTTAAAGTTGGACAATTAGCATGGCCTTCTTTGGTTTTAACAGATACAGATGAGGCTCACATTTGATCAGCCGTATTAGCTGCGCAGCTCTCTGGGGCAGGGCTTCCTGCCGATGTTTCCTCTTCCACACGGTCAGGAAGCAGAGTGCTGGCTGGACCATATATACTCGCTGAGCGAGCGAGGCTGAGACCTGCCACGGCCTCTCCCTCTGTTTCGGCCAAATAACCGATGAGTCATGAAAGTTATAACCAGTGAGACCGATGAGTCTCTCCCAATCAGAGAGACGAGGCCTGTCAGGCCAAGTCGCTGCCCTCCTGGACCTGATCTCAAAGCCTTGCCACGGCCAACGAAGCCCACAGACAAGCCGCGCGGGGTGAGTCACGCTGCTGTGCTGACTACGCAGAGGGCTCTGGGGGTCAGTCACCTTGAGGGAAAACTGGTACATGGGGTGGATCCTGCCCAGGTCGTTCATGATGAAGTAGAGCAGGGAGGCCCGGGCCGCGGCCGGCCGGTAATGCTCCCGGGCCTCGTTGATCTTCGCCTCGGTCACCTTGGCCTCCTGCACCTGTTAGAAAAATCAAGAGCAGTCCATTGTTCGAACCAGCCAGGGCTCCCTGAGAATCAGCGTGGCCGCTCTCTGTCAGCACCTTGTGTCCCTGGGTGGGCTGGGTGGATCAGGATGGGGGGAGCAGGAGAGGGCAGACAGCGGCTGTGATTTTCCTTAACTGAGCTCGAGTGAGGAAGAGAGGACACACTCCTAGTGCTTCAAAGGTCAGCGTGTCAGCCCCTCCAGCTGGGGACATGTGGGAGATACACACACACATACATACACATCAGTATATCTAACTTGAAAAGTAAGCCAGGCAGTAGGACTTCAGTAAAAGCAGCATAATCTAATTTTCTGTTTTCTTTGTTACACAGATGGCTGTTTCTTAATTAATTGATTAATTAATGAGTTAATTAACCCTTGGCTGCGCTGGGTCTTAGTTGCTGTCTCTAGTTGTGGCGCATGGAGGCTTCTGTCTAGTTGTGGTTCGGGACTTCTCATTGCGTGGCTTTCTTATTGCAGAGCACAGGCACCAGGACCAGGATGGAACGTGTGTCCCCTGCATTGCAAGGCAGATTCTCAGCCACTGGACCATCACAGAAGTCCATGGTTTTCTGTTCTCCTTACTTTTACGAACTAACATGTAAATTCACAAAGAAGATCTCTTTCAATGGAAAGATCTATTTTCAGAAAATTTCTTATCAGAGGTAAAAATAAGAAGAGACCTAAACATCAGAGAGGGATTCTGTAAGAATATCCTGTTAAATATAACCTCAGTACAACCTGCCTTATACTCCAGGATAGAGTGAAACTGCTGATAATTCATACAAATCCCACAGGAAAAACAAACCCTACTGAAGATGAGCTCACAATAAACAACTACAAAGTTCAAGAGGAAGTGTTACCTATGGGGATAATTAGAAGACCTCCCTCTCAAAATTCCCAGAAGGATTAGCATCCCAAGAGCTGAAGATGATTGAACTATCTACCATTAACTAACACCATTATCTAGCAACACCATTGGTGTTATCTAGATAACATTATCTGAAAAAGAACTAAATAGAACTTCCAAAGATAAGAATACAGTTATTTAAATAGGAAACTCAGTACACTGGTTAAATAATGAACTTGAGTTGAAAGAGAATAAGCAAACTAACAAATAAATCTGAGGAAACTGTTTAAAAAGCAGCTCAGAGAGAAAGAAAGTTGGAAAATATGTAAAGGAAGTTATTAGACCCAGCAGATAAAATAAAGAGATTCAAAATGTATGTAACAGAAATAAGTAGAGAACAGACAGAATGTGGGAGAAGCAATGTTTGAGCTATAATGGTTAGGAATTTTCCAAAGTTGATTAAAGACCAGAGGTTTTACTTTGAAGAGGCAGTCAATGTCAAAGAAAGCTTACTATCCACAGGCCCTTGAAGAAGTAATTATTTTCTTTGATTAGAAAACTGAATCCAAAAGAAGTGAATGAGATGCAAGAATTTCTTAAATGTACAGTCAATTTAAATAACAAAGACTATAAAAAACATGACCAGTTTGGAAGTAGCAGATGAAAGTAAGGTAGAAGTAAAATGCTATAAAACAATGAGAAGATAAAAAAAAAAAATCAAGGTTTCTAATATCCTTATAATGTTTTGAAAGAGGCTAGATATAGTGCTTAATTTTAGACTTTGTTAATATTTGTATCATTAAGTCTCATATGAAATAAATATATGTTTCATATATTGATGAAAAATTAAGGTTAATCAATAAAATAAAACAGTAAATAACTTTAAAACTAGCAATGGATAAAAGAGGAGGATAAAGAAAAATCAAGAAAGGAGAAAAAATAAACAAGAGGATTGTTAACAGAAAGTATAAATCAAGATAGTAGAAAGAAACCCATTTGTATCTGTAATGTTTAAAAATGTAAAACTTGGTTAAACCAGTAGTTAAAAGAGATTCTCAGAAGAGAGTGGAACTGAATAGAAACCACATAGTTGCTCCGATTGGTGTTTTCACTGACTCACATTTTTCATGTCACCTGGGTCCTTCATGCTGTCCATTAACCTGTGTCGCTTTCCTTCCCGCGTCCTCCAACAGCTATTGAAAACCTTCTCTCCTCTCCCCAGGCGCCCTGTCTCAACACCACACGCTCACTCTCAGCAGAGGAGCTTGACTCATGCTCTCATAGACTGTATAGAGACCGCTGGGCTCCCCTGGTGACCCAGATGGTAAAGAATATTTGCCTGCAATGCAGGAGACCTGGGTTCGATCCCTGGGTTGGGAAGATCCCCTGCAGAAGGGAATGGCTGCCCACTCCAGTATTCTTGCCTGGGAAATCTCATGGACCGAGGAGGCTGGTGGGCTGCAATCCCTGGCGTCACAAAGAGTTGGACACGACTGAGGGATTAACACATACAGACGCACACTCACATAGAGACCATCAGGAAGGGTTTCCTTAATTTCCACTTTCCTTTCCACACCCTTAAAAGAAGGAAACATATGCTAAGTAATTTTGCAGGATGATACTGTTTTATTTTTTAATTTTATTTTGAGAGCTCGGTTTACTGGGACATCACTGAAATTTTCTCATTGAAATCAGACTTGTCGGATTTTTGCAGGCTGTGGGTTTTCTGGGGGGGTGTAGACATGCCTGAACTTGTACACCGTGTGATTCCTTAGCTTCAGGGCAACTCCACGGACTCACTAAGGTATTCCGTCTGAGCCACTATTTCCTGCACAGAACACAAGCCCCTGCACAGATCTAAGCGCTGGTCAAACGTTTGCAGAGTAAGTTGTCAAGAGCGTTTTATAGTAGGTGAGGGCTCTGTCATGCAGGCGGTGAGGTGGTCATTTCCGGAATCCTGCCGAGCTGGATTTCCCAGGAGAAACTCAGGAAGATGGACCAGCCATCTTTTACTCTGACATTTGTCCCTGGATGTTGGACTCAGGGACCAGGAGGAGGGTCCCTGCCCAACCCCCCCACTCCCATTCCCAGCCCAGGCTGCGGGGTCTTACCTTTTTCTCAACTTCTGCGGCAGTCTGCTTGGTGGTCTCAAGGTTCTCCACCAGGGCCGTTTCTCCCAGGAAGTTCCCGGAGGCCGAGGAGAGGCGAGAGAGCAGGTCGTCCTCCAATGTTTTGAGGGTGATTTTGAACCCATTCTGCTGCTTCGTGAGTTCTGACTGCAGTATCACATAAGGGAGAGTCAGGTATGGGGGTCCAGAGCATCCGTTCTCAGGCAGGTCTGAATAGACAGAGGGCTATGGGGCCGGAGCCCCTGCCCTTAGCAAACAGGAAGCAGAGCAGAGGAGTGCTCAGGACCACAAGCACATCAGATCAGCCAAGGACTTGAACCCCAACTGCACCAGTTACTGATCATGTGATCTTGGGCTGAATGCCCCTTTCACAGTGACCTTAGCTGGGTTAAGCCTGGCCGTCCACATAGCAGTGCTGTGCAAGGCTTAGCAGAATGCTGGGACATGATCTAGTCATCAAAAGGAAGTTATTTTAGGGAATAGCTAGAGGATGGGGTCAAGTTTTACTTCTCTGTCATGACTTTACTGTCCTCAAAAGGAATAGCTCTCCTTTGTGAAAAGTAAAAGTGTTGGTTGCTCAGTCATGTCTGACTCTTGGTGATCTGACGGACTATATAGCCGGCCAGGCTCCTCTGTTCATGGGATTCTCCAGGCAAGAATACTGGAGTGGGTTGCCATTTCCTTGAGGGGAGTATTTACAGAAGGAGGTAATTAAGGTTAAATGAGGTCCTGAGGATGGGGTCCCTGTGGTGGGATCCGTGCCCTTATAAGCAGAGGCACCAGAGAGCTTGCTCTCTCTCTGTGGACACAAGGAAGAGGTCTGTGAATGCATAAGCTAGGAAGAGAGGTCTCACCAGAAACGACCCTGAACTCTGCTTTCCAGCTTCCAGACTGTGACAAAATAAATATCTGTTGTCCCAGCTGCTCAGCCTCTGGTATTTTGTGATGGCAGCTCAAGCTAAGATGTTCCCCTAACGTGGTTGAGTCTATTTCTATTGCCCCTGCAGGAATGAATCCCATTTAGTTCTGGACATAGACACATGAACACTTGTGATGAGCGGTCCAAAAGTGTCTCGGACAGGACCGCAGGTTCTCCCAGCTGCCTTCCGCTTGCTGGTCTTCAGCCTGCTCTACCTTCTGCTTCCCAACAGACGTTCCAGGTAACTGGTTGGTATTGGTGCTCCTCTGAGCTCCAGAAGAACCACACAGCTCAACTTCTGAAGGAACACCCCCTACCCCCACACCCAGAGGAGGGCGCAGGGCAGGGTCAGGTGGCAGAGCGTCTCTCTCCTCCCTCCCTTGCTGGGTGGGCACCTCACGTACCTTCAGCTGCTCCAGGTCTGGTCTCTCCATGCTGACCACAGCGGCCAGCAGCTGGTCCTCCAGGCCATCCCTGGTCACGGTGAAGTTGATCAGGGTGGCCTGAGCTTGCAGCTCGGGTTGGTAATGAGGGTTGGCCAGCTTGGTGTGAAGGATGAGCCGGAACCTGGGGTTATATTCACACTCTTTGTCTCCAATTTTAATGAACCTGGAACAAAGAGGCTCAGGTTAAGGGTGCCTTCCTGGGAGCTTTGGTCAGGGAAAGAATCCCGCATGGGATTTTTTGCAAGGTCGTAGCAAATGATATTGCCATACTCAGATGGACAGGCATGTCTAGACTGAGCTTTCACACAGGGAACAGGGTGGAGGGTGACAGACCTTCTCCCATGGCCATCACGTTTATTTTTTCGGGGTAAGGCTGGAGGAAGAGCTCTCCACTTAGTGGGGCATGTACACGGGAGCGCATCATAAAACGTTTCCAGCAGATGGCAGTAAAGCACTTGCAGGAAGGGGCACCTTCTTAAGAGTTCGCACAAAGGTGAGTTATGGGCTAACAGAAGAGCTTACTTCTTGTGGCTGGTGGAACATTACTTCTACGGGAGAAAATGCTTAATTAAGTAATTAAGTGCCTCCTAAGGACATGCAAGGGGACTTCCCTGGTGGCTCCGTGGTAAAGAATCTGCCTGCTAATGCAGGAGACGTGGGTTTGATCCCTGGGTCTGGAAGATCCCCTGGAGAAGGAAATGGTAACCCATTCCAATATTCTTGCCTGGGAAATGCCATGGACAGAGCAGCCTGGCAGGTTACGGCCCACAGGGTCACAAAGAGTAGGACGTGACTTAGCGATTAAACAAGGACATGCAAAGGTGGCTTAAGGTCTGAGCAGTGGGAGAGGCTCTTGAGTCTGACCAGTCCTTCCCGATAACTCTCACCCCCTCTCCTATGTGCCTGTAGCCCTTCCCTGTCTCTCTCTTCCTCCTGCTTCTCCTAGACCCTTGCTAACACCCAAAGCAACAGGCACTCATCGAATCGACAAAGACTTGAGTTCTCAGAACTCAGACAGCTGGCTTAGATGAAATCCGTGTGGTTAAAATTCAGCCTGGGGCTTCCCTGGTGGCTCAGTAAAGAATCAGCCTGCCAATGCAGGAAACATGGGTTTAATCCTTGATCCAGGAAGATCCCACATGCCTTGGAGCCACAACTATAGAGCCTGTGCTCTTGAGCCCGGGAGCTGCAACCACTGAAGCCTGCAAGCCCTAGAGCCCGTGTTCTACAGCAAGAGAATCCAGCGCAGCGAGAAGCTCACACTACTAGAGAGAAGCCCCCATTCACTTCAACTGGAGAAAGCTCAAGCAGCAAGACCCAGCACAGCCAAAATATAAAAATAAATACATAAATTTATATATAAAAAAAGAGCCTGCTTTTCTATCATGTTCCCTCTCAAGTTCCTCCAGAGGAGTGTGCTGTGGTTGTTGAGAAGCAGGCCAGTGAGCTGGCTGATGGAAGTTCCTCCAGGAAACTTTCTCCAGGGCAGGAGGGCAGTTAGGGGTTCCTCTTTTGGAAGAATGAGGAGGTGCTTCGGGAGAGCTAGCTAGCTGGGAGGGGAGGCCCTAGGGAGAGCAGGTCTGTGCACGGCTCTACAGGGGCCGGGGAGCAGCCCCTTGAAGGCCCGCAGGACAGCTGGGTCTCACCGTCCCTTCTTAACGACGTCTCTCCCCAGCAGGGGTCCTAGCACAGGATCGATGGACTCTTCCAGATTTTCAATCAGCACCGTGTCCCCGGCTTCCACCGCACGCTCTACCGTCTGAAGGTAGCTGAGGAGAGAGTGGGCAGGTGAGAGAGAGGCAAGCTGTGGATGTGAGGCAATTTAACAAGGTGGCCGTGGCCTCTGGGACGCAGGGGTTGTCTTGCAGGCACAGCTCTCTGGGATGACTTCAGGGGCATGTGTTTCTTTATTTAACATGGCATTTATGTGATCTTGCCCATCGAGAGATGAATAGATAAAGAAGTTGTGGTACATATATACAGTGGAATGTTACTCAGCCATTAAGAGGAATGCATTTGTGTCAGTTCTAATGAGGTGGATGAACCAAGAGCCTGTTACACAGAGTGAAGCAATTGAGAGAGAGAAAGAACTAATATCACATATTAATGCATATATATGGATGCGAGAAAAATGGTACTGATGGACTAATTTGCAGGGCAGGAATAGAGGTGCAGGCAGAGGAGAGACTTGTGGATGCAGCGGGGGAAGGAGAGGGTGGGAGGGATTGAAGGAGGAGCACTGAAACACTTACATTGCCATCTGTAAAATAGATAGCTAGTGGGAAGCTGCTGTGTAATGCAGGGAACTCAACCAAATGCTCTGTGATAACCTGAGATAGCTAGTGGGAAGCTGCTGTGTAATGCAGGGAACTCAACCAGATGCTCTGTGATAACCCGGGGGGGTGGGATGGGATGAGGGTTGGGAGGAAGGTTCCAGAGGAATGGGGCATATGTATATTTATGGCTGGTTCACATTGCTGTATGGCAGAAACCAACACAACACTGTAAAGCAATCATCTTCCAGTTTAAAAAATGGTATTTATGTGATTTGTTTTTAGGAAAAGAAACAAATAACAAAATGCATAAAAGAACATGAAAATTAACTGTGATCCTCGTGTCATTTACATTCTGGTGTTGAATGTTCTTGTCTGGATATATGATACTTTCAAGTTTATTATTACTATTTCTATTTATATTATTCATATTTTTATTTATGCCTGCATTTGTATTTATGTTTATTTATTACTTTATCCATGCAACTCATTTAATTTACAACCCTGGGTTTGGTACACGAAATGTACTGTAAATATTTTCCCATGTCATTAAATATTCTTCTATAACAATATTTATGTGACTGGGTATTAGAGTTTACTGATACACCTTAATTTGCTTAACAATCAATTACCAAAAGCTAGGCTATTTTTAATTTTTCAGTGTTACGCAGAGTTTAATAAGCACATAAAAAGATGATTTTGCCTAAACAGATTTACAAGTTTGATGTGATTCAATTCACACAATAAATAACAATATAATTTTTTAAACCTTGACCAAAAATCTTAAAGTTAATCTAAAAGAAAACAATAAGAACGGTTTAAGAAATAAATAAATGATGATGAAGAATAACAGGAGAGATTTACATTAGCTGATAATAAAATATTTTCTATAGCTTGAACAATACAGATATATAGAAAGAAGTCATTACAGACCAAAAGTTCAGACTGTTGGACAAAATGATGAATTACAGGGCTCATTTATTTATTTGGGTAACTTCAAATAAGTAGACTGATTCAGGCTTCCCCGGTGACTTAGTGGTGAAGAATCCATCTGCCAATGCAGGGCCTCGAGTTCGATCCCTGGGTCAGGAAGATCCCTTAGAGAAGGAAATGGCAAAACGCTCCAGTATTCTTGCCTGGAAAAATCCCATGGTCAGAGGAGCCTGGAGGGCTATAGACCATGGGGTCGCAAAGAGTCAGACGTGACTTATCAACTAAACAACAACATAACTGATTCCTTTTGCTATAGACCTGAAAGTAACTCAACCTTGTAAACTAGCTGTACTCCAAAAGAAACAAAAAAGAAAGAAAAGCAGACTCAGCACCCAAGCATCTCTCCCTGAGATGTTTCTTAAATTGAGAGGACAATCAGGAGAAAACTCCTGGGGGGATCAGGAGGGTAGAAACAATCTTCAGTGATTTAAAACCCGCTCATCACACTTTTTCCTTCTGCACAGTTGGCAAAGTGGGAACTTCTGTGTGCAGACACCTACCCCTTCTGGCCGATCTGGGTGACCCGGAGGTCCTCAGCATACTTGTTCTTGATCCATTTGATGCCTTGTAGCTGAGGGTCCACCATGAGCGGCCAGCGCTCGCAGTTGAGGAGGATGGCGGCATTCTCCGTGGACATGCGGTCTGCAGGGAGGCCCTCATTCTGCCAGGTGGCCACATCAGCATCATCCATCAGTGTCTGCAGGGGGTCCAGGGTGGGGGTCATCGGGATTGGAACCTGGTGGGAAAGAAAGGGCATAGGCACTCAGAATGGAAGCAGGTGCCCTAGGCCGAGGGTGGGGCCAGAGCTCACTGAAAAGACAGAGCTCCTCTAAAAAGCAAGACCAAAATCCCCCTGAGGATAGTTTTCCTGGCTGTGTGATTATTTGCGGAAGCATGTTTTCTCAGCTTCCTGATAGTCTTTTCTTTTGATGGATGAACAGCAGCAGAAATTCCACCCTTGTCATCCTCAGTTCCTCGGTATAGTTTCTAAGTCAAATGACTACCATAGATCATTAAATCAAATCAAAGTTTGTTTGCTCGGTTGTGTCTGACTCTTTGCAACCCTTTGGACTAGCCCACCAGGTTCCTTTGTCCAAGGGATTTTTCAGGCAAGAATACTGCAGTGAATTGCCATTTCCTCCTCCAGGGGATCTTCCCAACCCAGGGATCAAACCTATGTCTTCTTTGTCTCCTGCATTGCAGGTGGATTCGGTCCAGTGGTATAGAATCTGCCTGCCAATGCAGGAGCCACGGGAGATGCAAGTTTGATCCTTGAGTCAGAAAGATTCCCCTGGAGGAGGAAATGGCAACTCACTCCAGTTCTTACCAGGATCATCTCATGGACAGAGGAACCTGGCAGGCTGTAGTCCATGGGGTCGCAAAGAGTCAGATACGACTGAGCAACCAAGTATCATTTGCATGTTAATCAGCAGTCTCTATCCTCCTTACCCATGTTAGCAGAGTCATTTCTGTTGCATCTCTATGCTTCATGGCCCAGCCCCACACCAGTGCACACCGATCACCCTCTCCTCTCACTGGCATCACCACTTGCTGCCAATGCCCAGCTCACAAAGGACTGCAGACCCTCTCCTTTCTCCTGCTGCAGACCACCCCCCTCAACACAAGGCTGCCTGCAGGACCTCGTCCCGCAAACCTGTCCACTGTCCCTGTTGGGAACCCTACTTTTTCTTCTGTCTACCTCTTTCAATTCATTTAACTCTTCTTGGAATAATCATTTTCATTGGAAATTTTTTTTTTAATTGNGTGCCCTGTTGTTAATATTAACCTCTCCATCCTTCTCTTCTCTGCAGTTTGTCCTCCCAGTTATCTCAGGAAAGCCTCTCCAGATCATCTCCTTTCCCTTTAATTATATCTGCTAAGAGCACGAATGGCCAATTCTATACCTTTGAGCAGATCTCGAAGGGAAAAACAGACCCTGGCGGTGCTTATCCTGGGATCAGAAATGTATTTCAATACAATCATTTTCCTTTGTAATTGTATTCATTCCATTTTACATGCTACAAAACATTACTGTGAGAAGGGATGCATTGGTTTTATCAGACTGCCAAAAGGGTCCATGGCACAAAAATACTTGAGACCCCAAAGCAAAGCCAGAAAACGCCTTGTGAACCTGCTACTGCGCTCCTTGCCTTCATTTGTTCAGTCAGTGACTGTCCTTTGAACAATTTCCTTTCCACAAGTGTTCAAAGTGAATAAATAACAGCTTAATTTGTTGTTTATTTCCCAGAAATGTAGCTGGTTTTTTTTTAATTTTTAAAAAAATTAAAAGTTTTTTTTGGCTGTGCCATGTGGCATGTGGGATTTTAGTTTCCCCACAAGGGATCAAACCTGTGCCCCCTGCCTTGGAAGCGCAGAGTCTTAACTGCTGGACCACCAGGGAAATGCACTCTTAACAGTTTTTAAACTACTGTTCAGCAAATTATCAGGTGGGTGGGATTTTATGAGCTGATCTGAGAAGCCAACCATCACTAGACGGTAGGGGCTTTGTGTTCCACAGAGACACCTACAAATGTATTCTGGAACACAACCCTAACTGTACGTGGTGATCCTTCTGTGTTGACTCTCAGGCAGCTGCTTCTTATGACTCTCATCCTGTCTGCTGGACTAAGACTGTCCTGCTGACACCCTGGTACAGACTGTCTTCTGTGTCTCCTGCCGGTGGCGTGTAGGACAGGCTGAAGACTCGGCACGTATTTGTGGGCTGACGACCATGAGTGATGAGGGAGCGCCGAGGGCCAACACACCCTGAGTCCTCTTCAGTTGGAAACTGGCATTTCCCCACCAGGTCATGTCAGCATGGAGGGAGAAGTTGGGAGTAAGATCCACCCACTCACACTGAGAGCTGTGGATGTTGGACCAAAGGAGATGAACGCCTTCATAGGGGTGTCTGTGGGTCGCAGACACGGACGGTGGGGCTCCGGGCGCAGTGACCGGGGCAGTGCAGCGTTTGGGGAAGGAGGCTTGCCCTCCACTGCTGCTGCTAAGTTTGGCACAAGAGCAGGAAGGTTGGAGGGAAATACAGGATGTGTCTGGTGCCTCGTGGGTTTGACAGTTTTGAGAACTGTCAGGAGACAGCACGGATGTGGTGGACCAGCGTTCCCACGCAGACCCCAGAAGGAGGACAGGTGCTATCCCCAGGTGGCCTGGGGGGCAGTGGATGGCGGTACATAGAAGTGTGGAAGGACCTGGGTACCCAGGTCTCCCTCCTGGATCCCGGAGGTCACTAGAGGATGCTCTGGTGGTGATGGGAGGAAGAACGCAGGAAGGAACTACAAGATTTGGATTGTTACTGTCACGTGAGCTCATGAGTGTCGTGGGCCAGAACACACCTGTAGCTGGCTCAGGTAGGGCCTCCAAGTCGCGTCCAGGAGGCTCTGGCGGTATTGCTTTGTGAAGAAGCCCAGGTACGAGATGGAAGCTGCGGTAAGCAAAATGTCTCCACATAATTTCCTTTCCTGTTGCTTGAAGTTCTGCACAGCTTCTGCCCATCTCACGTTTTCAGAGGCCAGGCCTCCCACCTGCCATTTCAAAGAGCAGAGAGGGGAGAAGGCACATCATACCATGGGCCACAGAGCCATGATTCAGCCACGGAGATCGCACAGCTCACGTTTCCCAGCGCACAGCTCACGTTTCCCAGCGGGGGACCCGGGACATCATCTGCGTGGCCCTTGTGATCAATGCGGGTTTGCACCAGCCGCAGCAAACACTGCAGCAAATGAGCCCCTCTTCTCTACCCTGAACCCGACGGGCTGTGGAGAGACGGGGTCTGAATGCAGGCTTCGGTGCTCTGCCCTTGACAGGCATAGAGATGAACATGCCCGCCTCGAAGGGCCGTGAAGAGGATCTAGTGTGACTGCATGTGATCATCACTTGGGATCATGTCTGGTCCTCAAAACATTGCAGAAAATCATGCACCTCTCCCTTCTCTTCAAATACGGAGGATATGAAAATCAATTGCACTATAAATCACTTGCAATGGGTGGGATGGGCATTCATTATGCCACAGATGCGCAGAAACAAAGTCCCAAGACTGCAGAGCAGGGCCTGACTCTGCCGGTCCACGTCAGAGGCACCCTCTCTGGAGGAGAGACCGTCTCCCAATGGGAGGACTGTGAGGTGGGTTGTTTGGTGAAGCTCGGCTTCTGTGCTACGCACATGCATGCATATTTAGTCATGTCCGACTCTGCATCCCCATGGACTGTAGCCTGCCAAGCTCCTCTGTCCATGGGATTCTCCAGCAAAAACACTGGAATGGGTTGCCATTTCCTTCTCCAGGGGATCTTCCTGACCCAGGGATCAAATCCAGATCTCCTGCATTGCAGGCAGATTCTTTACCGCTTGAGTCACCTGGGAAGCCCTCTGTGCTATGGTGTGATGACAGGTTGCTTTTTCTTCCTTGAAAGATGACATCCAAGGATGTCAGAGCTGAGAGACTTGAGGGACTTACCCCACCTGACCATCCTCACCCCGTCTTAGATCACACAGATAAAGACCAGCAAGTCCAAGCGTCTTGTCAGAACCCCCAGGGCAGTGGACGTGGGGGGGCTTCAGAGACCACCTGTCCTGAGTCCTAGAGCAGAGCCCCACCTCACCTCCTACAAGGACCAATGCAGAAAAGTCTCCAACCGGGCATAGAGAGGCCAGGGGGAATTCTGGGCACCAGGCAGGGGGGTGAACGGACGATATGCCGGCGGGGAGGCCCTGACTGCCTCGCGCTCGTCCGTGGAGGAGCTGCCTCTCCACCCCGCCGCGCAGTGAGGGTGGGGATCTCAGAGCTGTGCTGTAGCAGGTTCAACACCCAAGGGCTCAGACACACCTGAGGCTCCACCTCCCGTCACTGGAGCGCAGCTGGTTCAGTGATGGTGGTGACTCATCTGTCCCTGAACTGGGAGACCTGACTTTGTCATATACGTAAATGGTGGCTGGAATAAACATGAGTGAAAAGGGGTGGATTCCACTTCCTTACGCTGGTAAGGGAGGTGTGTAAGGGTTCTCCATAAAGAGACATCACGTCCAGTGGGGGCTGCTCTGCAGGCTCTGAGCTGATGATTCACGAAGAGAAATGTCAGCCACGGGGGATGAGAACAGCTACAGATCCTGTGATTCTCTTCTTGTCAGGGGCGGGGGCCTGTGGTCCCTCTCCCCGGATCTGTCACTGCTTTGACTAGTAGAAAGCAAGGAAGGATGCTGTGCTGGCTTTTGGTCCCAGGCCTTAAGAGAGTGGGGCCTTCTACTTTCTGTCCCTGGGACACTTGCTCTTGGAGCCCTGAGTGGCCATGTAGGTGATGACCCTGCTGGAGAGACCAAGGTCATGGGTGGCCATGCTCCGAGTCAGCTGTCTGTCTGGTTCCTTTCTGCTTCTGTCTCAGCACCTCATCCAGTCCACACCCTTGTTATCAAATACCCCACAGGGAAGAATGCCTGGGTTTGCCTATCGAAGGCTAGCTTTGTCTTCAACAATGCCCATGGCTATTGCAGGTACAGGTTAAGCATGTCATGCCTCTTGAAAGCTGCCTGGTGGATCCCACACCCCTTCTTCCTGACCATCCCTGTAGGAAATCTCCTTTGATCAGATCAGGGTGTGCATTCATACTTTCCCCAGGAGTCAGCCTCTGCTGTCTGGAGCATTTTAATATTTCTTGCCCCTCTTGGCAAAGCGGGGCTCAGCTGTGTTCATCTACTGTGTACCTCTGAGGCATCCAATAAGCTCAGCTTGTGTAATTAAATCCCTCCTCTTCCCCAGCCCCCTCCCTGGAAGCTCACACTTACCAGGCGGTTTGCAAGGGAGATGGTGCCTGCAGTCGCTTCAGCTTCTTGCTGACATTTGAGTTTGTCGGCTGTTGCTTTCTCAAACTTGGCCGTGAGTTTGGCCAGGTTCTCATTAAGGTGCTGTTGAGGAAGGAAAGCAAGGTCTGTCAGTAATTCCAGTGCTTCAGAGATAAGGGTCCACGTGCAGGGCGTTTTTAAAGAAGCCCTCTGCTGCACGGAAGAAGCTGTGAGGGACTGGGGAAACATGCAGGGAAGGGAAGGAAGGCAGGTTGGGGGGCTCTCAGGCAGATCCCTGTGGGAGTCCAAAGGGTCCTGATCCAAGCGAGAGAATCCAGCTTTCATGTCCCTCACCCAGTCAACGGTCCAGGAGCAAGAGTGGGTGATGGACCAGGAGAAATGAAATGAAATGTTAGTTGCTCACTTGTGTCTGACTCTTTGTGACCCTAGGGACTGTAGCCCGTCAGAATCCTCGGTCTATGGACTTTTCCAGGCAAGAATACTAGAGTGGGTTGCCATTTCCTTCTCCAAGGGATCTTCTTGACCCAGGGAATGGACCAGGAGAGAGAGACTTAAATTCTGTCTCTCTCTGTACTGGGGAAAATGGGTTCCAGTACTCTGAGAAAAAAGTGAAAGCGCTGCTTTGCTTTTAGAAGCAGAAGTTCACTGGAGCCTGGGGAGGCCTGGAAATGGACGGAAGGATCCCAGGATTGGGGGTGGGGGTGCAGGGAGGAGCCAGACTGTCTGCTGCAGTTGGTTTGCAGGTTGGAGTCGGTCTGCAACCTGGGTCCTCCCCTTGCTTCAAGGTCTCAGGAGTACAAGACAACTTCACCTAACCTCCTCCATTCTCTGCAATTATGCCAAAGTAGAGGAATATTTTTTAAAAGACATGGTTCTGATTTTTTCTAAATGCATTAAGAATTTAGAATGTAAGTGCACAGTCTTTATTGCCCCTACCACGCCTGTTTGCACCCACAAAGCCACCTCGTTGCATGGAAGACGCCTCCAGATAAGTCTCGCATCTGTGTCACAGCAGGGCTTCAGGCTGCTCTGTTCATCATCACCAAGTCACAAGAGGAAGAAATGAAGAGCCAGGCTTATACAGCCAAGCAGCTTAATGAGTAGATGGTGAGGCATCCAGTTAATGGTGGCAGGCTGCCCACATTCTCCTACCTCCGCTTCTTCCCAAAACGTCTCTAACATGATCATAAGTGAAAGTTGTTCAGTCATGTCTGACTCTTTGTGACCCCATGAACTGTAGCCTGCCAGGCTCCTCCGTCCATGGAATTTTCCAGGCAGGAATACTAGAGTGGGTTACATCCTTCTCCAGGGGATCTTCCTGACCCAGGGACTGAACCTGGGTCTACCACATTGCAGCCAGACTCTTTACCGATGGAGCCACCAGGGAATAAATTCAAGGGAAGGATTAGAACATGAACTTGAGGAAATCTAGACAGTATAAGAAAATACAAAGTGACCAAAAACTGAAAGTGGAGGACCCATCAGAGGTTTTGATGGGCTTCCCTGGTGGCTCAGATGGTTAAGAATCTGCCTGCAAGGCAGAGTTGATCTGAGTTTTATCCTTGGGTTGGGAAGATTCCCTGGAGAAGGGAATGGCTACCCATTCCAGTATTCTTACCTGGAGAATCCACGGACAGAGGAGTCTGGCGGGCTACAGTCCATGGGGTTGCAGAGTTGGACACAACTGAAGCGACTTTCACTTTCTTTACTTTGAGAAGTTCCAACATCTAATCAATATTCATTACAGAAAATAAGGTTAAAAAGGAAACAGAAGAGAGACTACAAAATCACCTTGTGAAACTGAAGAAAATAAGTCTCTACAACCCAAGCACAAAGAATAAAAAAAGAATGATAGCTAAGTACATCAATGTAACGTGTCAGATGCCAAGAATAAAGAAAAAAATCGAAAGACTTCCAGAAAGGCAGAAACACAGTGCACCAACAGAGGAATGGGACCCTGACTGTTCATCAGGCTTCTCACCAGACCAAAAGATAAAGCACTCAGTGTTCTAAGAGGAAAATATTAGCATCAGAATTTAATACTCAGTGAAACTGTCAATTCAGTTTAGAAACAAAAAGATGTGTCCAGACCAGAATATTAGATAATTTACCTCTTATGTAACATTTCTGGAAAAGTTATTTAAGAATGAGCCAAAGCAAAACAAGAGAAGAAATCAGGAAAGAAGCCATGGGGTCCAGAAGTCTGTGGAATGAACCCAAGAGAGCAGTGAACGTGATTACGCTTTGTCACAGGAGCTTTGAGTTGTAAACAAGAGAGAAAGGTCTTAGGAACAAAGGCGGGCTCAGCAGAACACTGGATTGGATGGAGATTTAATTTTTTTTTAAAGATTTTTTTTTTAATGTGAACCATTTTTCAAAAGTTTTTATTCAATTCATTACTATATTTCTTTTTTTAAAAATGTTTTGTTTCTTTGGCCACAAAGCATGTGGGATCTTAGCTCTCTGACCAGGAATTGAACCTGCACACTCTGTTGGAAAGTGAAATCTTAACCACTGACCACCAGGGAAATCCCTAGAGAGATTCCCCCACCCCCCTCAAAGGAGCTAATTGAGAGAGAGAGAAAGAGAAAGTAGAAATTCCAGGGAGAAAGGCATTTTAAAAAGGAAATGTAACTGTACTTTGATCTGCTATGAACAATATAGACAGATTCATAGAATATAAATATAATTTACTGTTCTTTCAGTTTTTTGAATCAGTCAATGGGGAGGGCGTGAGACAACTGATTTTGGTTACAATGTAGAGATTTTCAGTGTTGGTGATTCAAAAACCAAATAATGGTAAGTAATGATAAGGGAAGTGGGAGGTAGGAGGGAGGGGGTGAACTAAAGGCAAGGGCACTAACTGCATCTTGAACAGGAGGGCTCCAAGGAAGCGGCCTCTACGTGATTGAACAAGGAATTGAGGTCACGTTGGCGAAACAGAGTCACTCTAACAAGATAGGAGATGATTGTCGTCCAGGCACCTGGAGCAGAAAGTCAACTGTCTAAAGAAGGTACATGGCAAATGGATGTGGCACAGTACGTAGACAGGGCTCAGAAATCCAGATGTGCAGAACAGGAAGACGATGTAAACCAGCCAGATGAGTCTAATGTTAAAAGAAATAGGGGCCGGTGGGGACTGTGACAAAACGCAGCAAAACTGCCTGCTTGAGTGGGAAGCCACTGCTTAAGGCCAGAGTCAGTCAGTGATATTCAGGAAGCTTGTGATTGTTATAAGACTGGCCAGAAATCAGATTTTTTGTTTTAAATACTGACCACCAGTTAAATAATTTCCAAGCAGTATGTGCAGGACAGATGAAAGACATTTAAGCCATTGGGTTGCAAGCTCTGAGTGGTGTCAACAATTAGTTCAGTTTAGTTCAGTCCAGTTGCTCAGTCATGTAGAACTCTTTGTCACCCCATGGACTGCAGCACTCCACGCTTCCTTGTCCTCCACTATCTCCTGAAGCTTACTTAAACTCATGTCCATCAAGTCGGTGATGCCATCTAACCATCTCATCCTTTGTCATCCCCTTCTCCTCCTGCTTTCAATCTTTCCCAGCATCAGGTCTTTTCCAATGAGTCAGTTCTTCCAATGAGCATTAGGTGACCAAAATATTGGAGCTTCAGCTTCAGCATCAGTCCTTCCAATGAATATTTAGGACTGATTTCCTTTAGGATGGAGTGGTCTGATCTCCTTGCAGTCTAAGGAACCCTCGAGAGTCTTCTCCAAAACCACAGTTCAAAAGCATCAATTCTTCAGCACTCAGCTTTCTTTATGGCTCAACAATCAGTAGAAACAGACAAAAGAATGAAAAGGTCAGGAGACTGTCCTTTCTCACCCGAAGCTCTTCTCTGCTCTCTGTTATTTTGCTTAATGAGTGAATAAATGCCCAATGAAGATGCCTTCCTTGTTTTTACTCTATTATTTTTTTAAATTGTCAACTTCATATGTGTTTGTGACAGAAAAAAAGAAAATACAAGTTAACAAAACCCATCCAAAATCTACTACTTGGAAATAACCACTAGTATTCATATTCGTGTGTATTTTAATTATCTGTGTAGTTGCTAATTTGTGTCCGACTCTTTGCGACCAAATGGACTATAGCCTGCCAGGCTCCCCTGTCCATGGGATTCTCCAGACAAGAATACTGGAGTGGGCTGCAATTTCCTCCTCTGGGGATTTTAATTATCTATGTAATCAAATTGAAATTACCTTGTAGAATGTGTTCTGAAAGATGCTTTTTTTTTTTTAACTTTATGCATTGTGAATTAAAATTCTTGGTACAGCAGAAATGAATACAACATTATAAAGAAACTATACTCTGATTCTAAAAAAAAGTTCTTTACTTGGAATTATGCTAAAATCCTAAAAACAGGCATCCTCTTCTGGGTGAGGGGGGGATGCGACTGGAGAGGGCTGGCCGTGGCCTCAGTGACACAGAGGGAGGCTCTCTCCTGCCTGGGTGGGCGTCCATGTGCACAATGGGTATCAGTCCATCCTCCTGTTATTGGTAGGTGAATGTCATGCCTATGTTGATAGGCATGTGGATGAGCAAAGGATGGAGAGGAGGCTGTTCAAAGCGAGAAGGCATCTTTTTAATTTCAAAAAATATTTTGGCAGAAGAGAAGCGCCTTCCTAAGGTAGCCAAGTATTTTAAAAATATTCTGATTGCTTTCACAGGTTGAATGAGCCCATCATGTGCGTGTTGGCTAACTGAAAAGGTATAAACATTTTGAAAACATTCCCTTCGCACCAAATGTTCCTTTCGTTAAAATAACTTGAGTGAGAGAGAGAGAGCTTTGAAAATGTAGTTCCTGTAACACTTTTCTGAGAGAGACTAAAGAATATGAAAATGATCAGAAGGTCTTTTCCCCCCCAGAAGCAGTCAACAGGGTGGTAGAGTGTTTTGCTCTTGGTGTTCCTTTAAGAGGGCCGTTATGAGGTTGATTATCAGTAATCTGGCCCGTGAATATCTGGGTTTTGTAAAGCAAACATACTGGGAGATTCTTTGCTTTGCCAAAGCATTTTTTTTTTTTTTAAATACAGAGTCTGGTTGCAAGGATCTTTGAACTGGGGTCTTTAGCTGAGGAACTTAATCTATGGATCAATAAACCTATGAAACTTGAAGCATGAAGCATGTCTGCGATCTTGCTTTTCATAATTTGTAAAACCCTTTTTATCATCACGAGAAATGTGCAGTAAGAATCTTATCTGCCTAGAATGCACACGTAGAGATGAGAGATCCAGGGAAAGTTTCAGCTTGAGCTTGACTGTGGTGGTGACTAGGGCTTGGACACAGACATGATGACACACGCAGCCAATGGAAGGAGCAGGTGGAGGTCATGCAGGGGTCAGGGGTCACGGGAACCCTGGTGGCAGCGACAGCTCCCTGTGTTCCTGTGGGCTGGGCTCTGGGCTTCTTCTCGGCCTGCTTCTCTCCTTTGATCCTCACGGCAGACTCACAAAGTGGAGGCTATTACTGTGTCCATTTTATGTCAGGAAACTGAAGTCTGGGCACTTGAAAGCCCTTTCTATATGTCACACACTGGTGAACAGCGCAGCGTGGATTGGAAGGTCTGCCGATGGGGTTTTAGCTGCCATGTCATTCTGCAGGATTCTGATTTCCACCTCTCACATTGGCGATACCCATTGTAATGGCTTCCCAGGTGGCGCAGTGTTAAAGAATCTGCTTGTCGATGCAGGAGATGCAGGTTCAATTCCTAGCTTGGGAAGATCCCCTAGAAGGAAATGGCAACCTACTCCAGTATTCTTGCCTGGAGCATCCCATGGGCAGAGGAGCCTAGCAGGCTACAGTCCATGGGGTCACAAAGAGTTGGACAAGACTGAATGGGCACATATGTCATTTTAATGGCAAAGGTGAAGTTCAAGGGGAATCTCTTAAATAGGGGTGAATCCAAGGTCACCTCCATCCCCCAATCCTGGGTGAGGGACATACAATAAAAATATCAATAAGAGGCTAATAATTACATATTTATTGCCAAGGGACCCCCACCCCCCACCCCAAACCACAACACGCTAGGTGCTCTCACAGACTTCCATAAGGCAGTGCAGTCTGCGGGATGTCCCGCAGACCCACATGTCCACACCAATGAGAGTGAGGGGGTGGACAGTGGCCAGTATGGACGCTCCTGATGCACAAGGTGGGTGAAAAACTATGTCTCAAAGAGGAAAAAGGATCTCCCATTTTTGAACTTATCTACAAAACAGACTCACAGAGAACAGGCTTGTGGTTGCCAAGGGGGAAGAGGTGGGGGGAGGGATGGATTGGGAGTTTGGGATTAGCAGATGCAAACTACCAGGATATTAACTCTCAGTTAACTATCAATATTAACTATTAGGATGGATAAACAATGAGGTCCTACTGTACAGCACAGGGAAGTCCTACTGTACAGCACAGGGAACTACAGTCAATATCCTGTGACAAACCATAATGGAAAAGAATATATGTGTGTGTGTATGTGTAATTGAATCACTTTTCTGTATAGCAGAAAATAACACAACATTGTAAATCAACTATACTTCAATAAAATAAGCTAAAGAATCTCCCTTGTTTGACCTTTTGTTCTTAACTATCAGATGTGCAAAAATATTAGATTCACTTGTGGCTACTAAGATAGCAGCTGGTTCCATGAATATTACCGTTCATCTATTATACTTATCCATCTGTCATCTTTTCTTTCCTTGGAGGAAATGGAAAAAAACCTTTTAGGACCAAAGCTTAAACCCATGGCCCAGTGGATCTGTCTTGTTTGGACTACACGGTGTTTGAGAAAGAAAATTTAAAAGTTTCCTCTATTAAAAAATTAGATTTTACATAACAATTTGGTTTTCTTTCAAAGTCAGGTCCGAGGCGCTGGGGCCTGGGGGAGAGGGCTGTTTGCCTCAGCTGGGGGTCACTTACAGTGATCTTGGCTTTAACGGCCGCCAGCTTCTCCTGGGCAGCAGTGAGGTCCGAGGTGGCCTTGTTCAGCGCTTGGCGCTTGGGTTCCACGTCACAGAACACCTCGTGGAACTTCACGATGTTTATGACCCAAGAGCAGAGGCCTGCAGCCGCGTAGGACTTGGTGGCCACAAACTCCGGATTGAACTCGGGGTCCTGCAGATATGGCCTGATGGCCTTGAGGCAGTTCTCGTGAATGTTCTCCTTGTCAAAGTGGACGAGGGAGTCCAGGAAACCATCCACCTTGGCCATGGTGACCTTGGCGGCCTTCCAGCTGCGGTCCTTGGGCACCTTGCCCCTGGGGGCTATGAGCACCATCACCGCTGCGCTGACATTGCTCACCGCCGGTGGTGGGGAACCAAAGGACTTCAGCTCGGTCAGATTGGTCTGCAAGAGAGAGGCACATTGTTAGAGGAAAATGCATGGGTTCTGTTTGTCATCGACCACTCATGGAGCCTGGCTCGGAGCGATCTGAGAGGGCCCTTTTGAAGCCTTTATCTGCCCTTGGAATTTTAAATATCATGACTCATCAGAAGGGAACCGAGAACTCCCCAGTGGCTCCAGAATGCTCCGAATGGCTAGTTGAGACTCAGAGGTTCTATCAGCACTTTGACCTACAGCCCATCAGAAACACACAATTATTTCACATTTGACTGAAATGTATAAGGATGCCAACATGCTCTGAAACAGGCAGCGTGCCATGAATAAAAGATAAGGTTATTGTAAATTAATTTCCATCTTGGATTGAAGAGAATAGCATGTAACCCAACGATTTTTTTTTTCTTTAATTAAACTGCTTTGTTCCATGAGCCTGTTCTAACTACAGCTGACCGTCCTGATAGCAAAGAGGCATCTTCTGCCAAGAAATAATGCAGACAGAAAGCCAGGCACAGCGTGTGCTCTTACTGCCTCTGCCTAGACATGGGTTGGAGCTTTGCGACAAGTTTCACTTGCTCTAGAAAGATAGGACTGAAAGGCTTGACCTCGAAAGGCCACTCGAACTTCTCAGGCTTTAGTGTTTTCATCTGTAGGTTGGGAGCAGTACATCTGTAATGAAATTTGGTCAGAAATGCATATAAAGTTGATTTAAGGTTTGTTGTGACCGACAGTGAGGGACATGTGATCTCAAAAGCACTTGCTTTCAAGGCTGATTTTATGAATAGGGGAAAATCTTGATTTCAAAGATTAGATCCTTGTGCCAAATTAACTTGGGGGTGTTCTCAGGCTGGGAAGTCAAAACAGGAGGGGGATTATTTCTGGCACCTAATGGAAGTGCCTAGGAAGATGCTCCGTTTATTCGTGCCACTGTTCACACTTTGGGTCACGACAGTCTTGTCAGGGCCAGGAATGAAAGACAGCACAGGTGTGGCAGGTGGGCTTGGGCACCTGTCCAAGTGGCCTCCCCTGAGCCAGAGGACAAAGAGGGAAAATACAGGCAGAAACAAAACCCCCACAATGTTAATATAATTTAAGTTGAGCATGTATGTGCAATGTACTGAATTAAGAAAAGATAAAAATGGATACAGATGAAATTGAATTCTATAACCTAGATACATCATTGTTAATATTTCAATGTAATTCCTTCTAACTTTAAAAAAAATTTATGTATGTATGTATATATATATATATATATATATATATATATATATATATATATATAATTTGGGGATATGCTGGGCCTTTGTTGCTACATGGGTTTTTCTCTAGCTGTGGTGTGCAGGCTTCTCATTGTGGTAGCTTCTCTTATGGCAGAGCACAGGAGCAAATGTCTTTTGATTTCATGACTGCAGTCACCATCCACAGTGATTTTGGAGCCCAAGAAAATAAAGTCTGTCACTGTTTCCATTTTTTCCCCATCTATTTGCCATGAAGTGATGGTAGGCTGGATGCCCTGCTCTTAGTTTTTTGAACATCTAAATATAAGTATATACATACATGTATACACACACACGCACACACACTGCATACAGTGCTTTTTCGTGATGCTCATTGTCTCTCGCCCCTGCCCAGTGCTAAACAGAATCTTCATAGAGACAGAATCTTTGTCTCTATGAAGGCAAATAGAGGCATCACGGGCACCCAGAACAGTGTCTGGCATGGAGTGCAGTCAGGGATTCTCTGCTTAGTGGATAAATTTGTCTGCACAGTCGTTCATTTGGCAAAGGGGGGATGCAGTGTTAAATAAAAAGTCAGTCCTTTTGCTCATGCAGGTGGGAGGGGCGGACACAAAAGAGTCAATCTTTGGTATATTAGAGAGTGAGAAGTGCTCTGAAAAAAAGCAAAAAGCAGGGCTAGTAGGCTAGTGGATTCTTGAAGAGTGATGGTATCAGTTTGACCAGGGAGGGGGTTCTGGGAGGACCAGAGAACCTACTGTTTCAGGATGGGGAAGGGCAGAGAGTAAATGAGTGGGCAGAGGCAGACACAAATGCCAGTTCCAGCATGATTTATAAGAGCTCTTCACACACACACACACACACACACACACACACACACACACACACATATGAGGATACTCTCTTTTTAGTTTAAAAAATTTAAGACATTCTGTGACAGAAATTTAGTTTTCCTATAGCCGAACTGAGTAATCCTTTTCCAGATGACATCATGCTATCATCCTTCGCTTTTATGGTTAGAAGGGTCTTTCATATGTATTAAGATGATGTGACCTTATAATAACTTTTCTAGTTCTTTTACAATTTCTTTCTTATTGTTCACTGGTTTACAAGGTTACATTATTCAGTCCTTCCAGTAAAATAATACATATTTACTGTGAAATATTTAGCAGAGACGAAGATGAAAACCAGACTCACTCATTTTACCACCCAGAGATAAACACTGTCCTGGTATGGTTAATGATATATGCTTAACAAACTAACAAAGAGGCACAGAAAAAAAGATAATGAGTGAATATTGTGTGAATATATATGAATGTGGTATATGTCTGGCTCATTCATTTATGCACACATATAGATATATATAGGCTTCCCAGGTGGCATTAGTGGTAAAGAATCCACCTACCAATGGAGGAGACAAAAGATGCTAGTTCGATCCCTGGACTGGGAAGATCCCTTGGGGGAGGAAATGGCAACCCATTCCAAGTATCCTTGCCTGGCAAATCCCATGACAGGGCAGCCTGGTGGGTTATAGTCCATAGGTTCACAAAGAGTCAGACACGACTGAAGCGACTTAACACACACACATGCATACATATATGTACATACATATACATATATCAATCACTGTTTACACTATTTTTTGAATCTGCTTTCACTGAAAATTGTATCTTAAACTCTTTCATGTTATGAATTATTTTTGCAAAATATGATTTTAAATAAAGTATGTGCAATTTCTCTCATTTAGATGAGACACAATTTAGCCAACTCCATATTGTTAAGTATTTAGGTTATTAAATTTTTAATAGCTGCTTAAATGATATGAACTTTTAATGAAATTAGAAATAAATAAGCCCCAAATCAGAGTCAAATTAGGCTTGGATTTAATGTATAAAGTATTTGAGGAATAGTGACATCCTTAAAATATTAAATCTTGCCTTACCCAAACTTGGTACGTCTATTTCCCTATTCAGATCTTATTTTACACTACTCAACAAAGATGTGCAGTTTTCTTCACATAGTTTCAATAAATTTATTTATGTTTACTCGTGCCGAGAGTTTTGGTTGCTATCTTGAAAATGTTATATTTTCTAACTGGATACTGTTGATATTAGGAAAGCTATTAAATTTTGTAATGGGCCCTTAACCCTCCCCTTTTATTTGTTTTATTATATTTTTATGACATCTATGAATAATAACACACTTGTCTGCTACTTTACAACATTTGCACGATTACCACTTTTCATTTATCATTGCATTGGCTAGAAACTTTAGGGCAATTGTTTTATAATAGAAGCAAAGGGGGTCATATTGTGCTTTTTTTTTGCTAATGGGAATTCGGGTAATGCTCGACCATTAGACGGGATGTTTCATTCTTGGACTGGGATTGATTGCTATGTGTTAGCAAATTATCCAAATATCCTTTTGGTCTTACTATACTGAGAGTCTTAATAGGAATGGATGTTGAATTGTGTTAGGTATCATTTTTAACATTTCTCTAAACTGCAGAATTTTTTGCCTTTTTTTTTTTTAAAGATTTTTTGTGTGTGAACCATTTTTAAAGTCTTTACTGAATTTGTTACAATATTGCTTCTGTTTTACGTTTTGTTTTTTTGGCCTCAAGGCTTTTGGGATCTTAGCTCCCAGAACAGGGATCGAACCCACACTCCCTGCATTGGAAGGTGGTCTTAACCACTGGACCACAAGGAAGTCCCCCCAAACTATTCTTCTTTAATCTACAGTTGGGTATGTTCACAGGAGTAGCCCTACATAGGCAAAACTTTACTTGGTAGCATACTGTTGTTTGAATAAATTGCTAGGCTTGATTTACCAGGATTTTGTATGGATATCTTAAATCACTATTCATAAATTTGTATAATCTGAGGTTTTATTTTCTTGTGCTATCTCTATCACTTCTAGTATCAAGCTTATCATATAATAAAGGTCTTAAAAGTTCTGTAGGAAAGAAGTCTGTTAAACTCTGTAACCCTAGAATTCTCAAAATCATTTAATTATAAAATATACCTTTTATATAACTTGTTAATATTAAGTTACAAGTCAAATGACAGGAAGAAAATATTTACAACATATATAACAAGACATATAGTAAAAATTTATCTTAAAAACCCTATAAATCAATAAAGAAAAGGGAAATTATCTCATCAGAAAATGGACAAAGAATCTGAGCAAATAATGAAGGAAGTAATCCAAGTATTAGAATCAAACTATTCACAAATTTTTTAAACAAAAAAATTTTTGTGTTCTTAATGAGAAAAATTAGAATGATTGAAAATACTTAAGACTGGAAAGGATGTGGGGGAAAGCAGAGCTTACAACTATAAACAAGAGAAGCTATTTTGGATAGAAATTGAGTGTTATTTATATAAAAAAGAGAATTATTGTTAGAGTTTCCTAATGCTTCTGTGGGGCTTCCCAGGTGGAGCTAGTGGCAAAGAACCCACCTGCCGATCCAAGGGACAGAAGAGACAGGGGCTTGATCTTGGCTTAGGAAGATCCCGTGGAGGAGGGCATGGCAACCCACCCCCATGTTCTTGCCTGGAGACTCCCATGGACAGAGGAGCCTGGCGGGCTACAGTCCCTGGGGTTGCAAAGAGTCAGATGTGACTGAAGCTACTGAGCACACGCATTGCTTCTGTAAGAAATTATCATAAACCCAGTGACTCAACGTGGATGCATAATCTTCCTATTCTGGAGGCAGAATTCCTAAGCTGAAGATGTTGGAGGGGCTGGTTCTTTCCGGAGGCTGGAGCAGAG